CGCTCAGGTGTCATTTGGACGAGAATTGAACGGGGAATCTTTTGGTAGTAGAATCAGTTCGACTCAGTGTAAGGAAGAGGAGAAAGATTTAAATTACTAACAGCGCAGTTATTTATGGCGCACCTGTTACATGCGCTTCTGGTTTTCTAGTTTGAAAATCGAAACTGATTTTCCACAACATCAATTCTGAAATTCTACAAAATAGAAGATTATTTGCTGGAAAATCAAATTCGAGAAAATGTGATTTTCTAAAAATTAGAAAATCAACAGTATATGTGGATTCTTCGAAAATTGCCTGTTTTTCTGTAACTTATTTACAGTGTAGATTCAGACACAACATATAGATTTGATATATTTTAGTAATCGAATTACTCGTGATGGTGCTATTCACATTGCTCCAATGCTTGAAAAATGTGGTTTGTTACGATTAAATTTAGCTTTCAACCGCCTCGAAGACGAAGGTGCCGGTCATCTAGCTCAAGCTTTACTTCAATCTTATTCAAAACTAAGAAGGTATGTGCTTTTCTTCACTGATTGAGAATCTCTATCCTTCTAAATATGACTTATAATTTAGTTTGGATATTCGCTCGAATAATATCAAAGGTGATGGTTTATGTAGTATTGCTGATGCAATCAAATTTAATTCTGCTTTAACCGAATTGTTTGTTTGGGGAAACATCATGGAGGAACGTGCTTGTCTGGTAATAAATTTGATGTGGTTATATTCCTAAGTGGAACAAAACTGAATTTTCCCCTGTTTTTCTTCTCAGGCATTTGAAAATTTATTGCATATACAACGATTTGAAACAAACCAAATAGACGTTGTGCCATATAAAGTGGACGGTGTTACGTATTTGAGTCAATTACCGAATACCTTATTAAAATATTCCTATTGGACACAAGTGGAACCAATTATGGAACACTCCTAGACGGTTGAACCCAACAAATCTTGTATCTATCATGGAAATTATTTTAAAAAAATTTACTTATAGTAAAATGGCATGTTATTAATCCAAGGATATCGTTTCTTCGAATATTAATTATATCTAATTACTCATGATAGCTAAGTGTACATTAAACTTCAGCTTAAAGATAAGAACAGTGAACTTTCTAATTTTTTTTCTTTGTTGTTACAACCTATTGCTCAATTTAAATTTCATTAACAGAATTGTTTTGGAGCTTTTGTGTTCAATTTTGGCAAACGCTACCAAGAAACTTGTATTATAGTTCCAGTTTCGCTGATTGCGAGCGAGTATTTATTTCATAATTGTCTTTGTCTTAAACCGCAAAAGGATATAATCTCGTTTTCCTATTATCTATTCTCAAACAGACAGGTAATGCGTGGCATGCGTTAAATTTTATATACCAGAAGTAAACAAAAAAGTTCGCATCTATTAAAAAGTCGTCAACGTTAAAACGCATTAAAATGGATAGTTTAACGCGTTAGCCTAGCGAAAAAACTCATTCGAAGTCTGATCGTTTCCACGAAACTGAATTTGATCTTTTCCATAGCAAAAACGATGAGAAAAGTATGAGTTCGACAGATAGCGCAGTTACTTATAAAATGATTAAGATGATGCATTCGCAAACCTTCAAAAACGGGAAAAATGTGTTTTGATCATCAAATCAATTAAAGAAAATTTAAATTAAAGAAAACATATACAAGAAGAATATATAGTAATTTAATAGAAAATTAATTAGTTTAGTTTCAGTGTTATTGCAAATTTGTTAGTGGACCGACAAGAAAAAGA